ATCACGCGAAGTTAGTGCCAAAGCAGTTGAAACCTGCTTGGTGAAGAATGGAAGGCGTGCTCGAAAGTGAGCGCCTCATGATAGCCACTGCACTGCAGTGGTAAAGTTTAACATAAACTGCACACCAACCAGACTCCGTGTGTTTGGGCATTCGAGTCGCAACGCTTTTCCCTATTTCAACCCCGTACACTGCTGTGTACAGTCGTCAGTGCTCAATACCTTGTGCAGGGACGAAGGAGTTGTACCTAGTGGAGCGCCTTTGCGAGGCCATCTCAATCCATCATACTGGGGCTAGTACATATCTTGCGCCATGCATGATGCAGCGCAACGCTGTGTAGCAAGTACTAGTATTGCATTCTACAGCTACATCAGCTAGCTACATCGAGGCACTTGCCTCGAACTGCGGCATGCTTGTATGAACTGTGCTCAAGAGGGCGGAGCTGTCGGAGTTTGTCGGCACCGGGGCTCGTGTTTGCTTTCTGCGTGGCGAACCACCCGCGGCAAGGCTCACGGATACCGCGTGGTTTCGGAGCTCAAAGACGGAATGTGGCAAGGACTCCGTCCACATCGGACTCTCCGTTGCTGTGTCCCGTCGACGCCAGACGGTGTCGGTGACATCGACCCGCCCGATGCCACCGGAGGCTCGGTGGGGGTTTTTCAAGTTGTTAAAGTGTCGCTAAGGAGACCGCGCAACCTTGGCCTCGACCCACGGCGCTACTCGCCTTGCGGTGCGACCGGGAGGCTTCAGAGTGGGCGTAGCGACACCACTATCTAGCTTCTCAGCCAACACTCGCCGCGACACCAAGCGGTCCGTATCTTGGCGCTCCCGCAACCCTACTCCATGCGGCTAGCGGTGCATCGAGTGTTAGTACTAGTATTTAGTATGCTTGACACGACGTCACCAATCGTTATGCCCAAGTTACGCTGCTGAAGGACTCTTTCAACGACACGCCAACACTACAGTGGGGACACTCTGGCGCACAAAACCGTCTCTAATTCTCCAGGATTATATACATCTCGTTGCTAGCATCTAGTAGCCACGGAGGAGCTTTGCGACTTGGTGCGCGACGCTGTTTTCCGTCGGCGCGGCCTGGCGGCGCAGGCGCGGGATGTCCTGCGCAATGATCTTCTGGAGCTCGTGGATGTCGTTGGCCTTGACCTTGGGGAGGTTCTGGAACCCGAGCGTCGCCAGTGCGACTTGAAGGCTCGGCAGCACGCGGCGCCAAATCGAAAACACAAATTCGTCCTTCTCCGCAAGCTGGCGACCGTAAATGCGCCGGAAGTGGTGCGTCAAGCCCTCTTCGCTCAGCAAGTCCTACAGTATTTCAATATTGGACGAGGATCGTCCACTATCGAAACATACCTTTTCCAGGTCCGAGAGGTGGTTGCGGTTGTACCACGAGAGGCCCGACGCCGACACAAGCGATGCAACCGAGACCGCCGCCGCGACTTCGGGCATGCCGCTCACAAAGGCCGAGGCCGCGAGCGCGTTACCGCCCACGAGCGCCGAGCTCGTCACCGCCCTATACATCCCCATAACGTTGTGGTCGATAGCAGTCGACGTACCAGCGGCTCCATTTTTCACGCGAGTACTGGGCACGGACCGCCTCAAAGACCTGGCGACAGACGACGTTAGACAATCAGAAGAAGGAGATACGAGGCGTACGGTCGCATGCATCTCGAGCATGCGCGCACTGTCGTAGAGGCGCGTGATGAGGTTGTCGGCGCGGCGCTCCGGGGCGCGCATGACGGCGTTGATGACTTCTTCGCGCGAGGCCTCGAGGTCGTCGAGGGCCGAGCCGAGGCCGGTCTCGGTCGTACGCGCGCCCGTCTGCGAGTCCTTGACGGGGATACACATGGTGTAGATGCGCGGGAGATCCTTGAGCGGGATGACCTTGGAGAGGTTCCAGCACAGGCTGCCGTACGCACGCGCAAAGTCGTGGATCTTCTTGAACTGATCGACCTTGTTGAGCACGATGTGGAGCTTGTGGTCCATGCCGACGAGCGAGTTGGTGAGGATCGAGAGCGTCTCGCCCGTCGTGCCCGGCTTGTCCGGGTCGAAGAAGAGCAAGATGACGTCCGCGCGCTCGGCGTACCACTGGACGACCTTGGGGAAGTCGTAGCCGCGGTCCGTCTCGGAGCGCATGTTGAGCGACGCCGGGCTGTCGATCATACCCGGACTGTCGACCATCATAAAGTTGTTGCCCATGGGAATCTCGGCGCGGATCTTGAGGTTCGTCTTCTGGATCAAGTTGGGGCCGAACTGGCGCAGGCCTGAGAAGCCCAAGTCCGGGTCGCCAATGAGCGCCTGCAGGAGCACGCATAAGTGGAAGGAGTAGAAGCATGGTCATGTACCGGTCCGTCCTGGTCGTAGTCGGCCGACCCGTTCGAGATGATGGTGAAGCCATCGTCTGTGGGCGCGACGCCCGTCGTCTGGATATCGCGCTTGAGGATGTGGTTGATGAAGGACGACTTGCCGCTCGAGTGGTTGCCGAGGAGGAAGACAAACGGCAGCGCGGGCAGGCGGTCCTCGACTGCGCGGTTGAGCGGCCCGCAGAGCTTGTCGTTGAGCGGCAGCAGCACCTCGCGCTCCATGCGGGACGTCTCGCGCATGAGCTCGAGCGCGCCTTCGTTGCTCTTCTCGTACGTCGAGGCCCAGCGGGCAGCCATCGCCCGCGGAGCGCGGAGCAGCGCGGAATGGCGGCGCAGCAGCATGTTCGTCGTCGCCTGGTTCGGAAGCAAAGAGACTGCGAATGCTGTGACCAGCGACTTGGAGCATTTCCATGCATCGCCCGCGGATTCGCTTCTTTTTTGCAGCATTTTAGCCAATCAAATCACACAACTTCAAGCGGCATATGCCTCGTTGCACGATATCCGGATGACAATTCAAAACCGGACCGGTTTATTGCCGGTGCCTGTCAGCGTGCCACGTACCGTGCGCAGCAATTCTGTCGCGCCAAGCTGCCCAAGCTGATGCAATGAGAGATCGAGCAAGAAGGGCCTCTTGGCTCAACACTAAAGCGCACTACTCTTATACTAGACTACCAGTACCGGTAGGTGAGCGACTTGATGTCCTCACCTGCTTTGAGACTTGTTGCAACAAGCGAAGGCTGAGCCAAGACAATGCGACTACTGTGAAGTAAATGTGACTACGGCTTCAATTCGTGTGCAACCTAGCTGTGTGACCTTACGCTTGCTGCGGCCTGGCTGCGGTTGAGCCGAAAGTTGTTGCTTGGCAGCTTGTTCACAAAAAATCGGCATGTGCCAAATTTACATCCGGATGTGGGACAGTGCATCCGGAAATATTTGATCCCGTTATCTTGTTCTCGAAGAGCATACTTTATTCCAGTCATTTGCATGGATCGATTTCTGCATTTCCGCATTTTCGCCATGTCCGACTACCCGCAGAAGCCACAGCCGATGGCCGCCCCCGCGCCTGCCATGGGCGTGCCCGTCGCCGTCGACCAGTACGGCCGCCCCGTCCAAGGCGTGGCCGTGGTCATGGCCCCGCCGCCCGTCGTCGGGGTTGTCCAGAACAACTCCAACATCCAACGCGACGCGCAGGGCAATGCGCTCTGCCGCAAGTGCCACACGCCGTACCCACTGCCCAATGGCTGCACGAGCTGGCGCTGCCGCCAGTGCGGCGAGCTGAACAACGCGAGCGTCTACGGCGACGAGTGCCCCTGCTGCAGCGTCATGTAAGCGTCTCGGCTAAGCATCTTTATTTTCCTTGTGTCTCGGGTCGCACCATGGGCTTGTGGCACACAGCGAGACACTACCTCCATCAATTCAAGTAACTGGCGAGGCCTCGCCAACAAGGCACTCAGCATGCCCTCCCGCACCTTGAGTCGCTAGTAACACTCGACCCAAGAGACGACGGCTTGTTCATTCTTGGTTGCTCATCCTGATCCCAATGATCCTGTCGACAATGCCCTCGACTGGAGGCGAGAGCAACGTACTTCGGTGCACTTCTTCGGCGTGTAGGTGCGTCGCCCGCGTGCAGCAATACCCATCAAGTCGTCAACTAGTACATACTTCTATCCATCCACTCTTATCGAAAAAACTTGAGCAAGTCGGCAAGGCCGAGGCGCCCGTCGCTGTCGGCGCCGGGCTTGGACGTTGCGAGCACGGTCGACGCCATCGTGGCTTTGCGTTCTTGAAGCTGCAGAATCATGTCTTCGACCGTGTCGTCGACCACATACTTTTTCACGATCACGTCGTGTTCCTGGCCCAAGCGGTGGACGCGGTCAATCGCTTGGTCTTCGAGCGCCGGGTTCCACCACGGATCGAGGAGCACAACGACCGAGGCAGCGGTCAAGTTGAGGCCGACGCCGCCGGCCTTGAGCGAGATCACGAGCACGTTGGCGGACCCGCGGCTGAACTCCAAGAGCACGCGCTCGCGCTCGTCCTGCTTGAGCGACCCATCAAAGCGAACGGTTGAGAATCCTAAATGAGTTTTCGAGATCGAGTGGGTTACATGTGGTGTGTACCGTGCTGGTTGAGCGTCGAGCCAACGAGGTCGAGCATGTGGGTCCACTGCGAGAAGACGACGACCTTCCGGTGCGGCTCAGAGGCCCGAAGCGCCTCGAGGTCACGGAGGAGCTGACGCATTTTGGTGCTTCCGGCGCTCTCGCCCGATGACGGCGTCACGTCGGCTCTCTCGGGCGGCGTGATCGGAATCAACTGGTCTAGACCCACATCGGCGCGACAGACGGGACAGACAGGCGCGGTTTCCAACGCCGCGCGGACGCACTCGTGGCAGAGCAGGTGCGCGCACGGCGTGAGCACAGGCGACTGTGGCACGTCCAAGCACACAGGGCACTCTTGGCAGTCGAGGCCTTCGTCTTGGATCTCGAGGATCCGACTTGAAATGTACGTGTCTTCGCTGCTGTTGGCCGTTGACGTTGTCGCCGCGGACGACGACTCGGACGACGACTGCTGCAAAATCGCCGTGAGCTCGGCGTAGTAGTCGGCGTTGGTCGCATGCTTGGTGGCCGTGGCCGCCGCCTTCTTCTTTTGCGCGACGGTCTTTTGAACCTCGGTCTTGCCCATGACGAGGAACGGGTGGTCGCACGCCTGGCGGAGACGCAAGAGGAGCGCAAAGATGGCCACGTAGCTCGCCATCGCATTGCCACTCTCGACGTAGCCGTAAAACTCGCCGCGGCTCTTGGCGTACACCGCCTTGTAGAACTGACGCTCCTCGGCCGAGAAAGCGAGGCGGACGACCTCGATGCGCTTGGGCGGAAGCTGCACGATGAGCTCGCCCGTGCTCGAATCGCGCGTGGCCTTTGTGCGCCGAAGCAAAATAGGTGCCAAGATCGCCTACACCGCCCTCGTTAATTAACTTGTAAACCTAAAGCACAAGTATACCTGAAGACGCAGCAAGGCGCACTGCTGGCCCTTCTCGTACGGCTGAGCAACGACGCGATTCCACCACTCGGTTCTGTCCCATGGCTAGTAGACACAAGGTCGAGTCAGCAGGTCGGTACAGAGCGAACGTACTTGGTACTGCAGAAACACGAGCAATGACAAGATGTCTTCGAGCGAGTTTTGAATCGGCGTGCCTGTGAGGCACCAGCGGTGTGTGGCCGAGAGTGCCGCGCACGACTTGAAGTACGCTGTCGACCGGTTCTTGATCGAATGCGCTTCGTCCAAAATGAGCCGGTCCCAATGGAAGGCGTGCAGCGCCGACTCCTTCTCGCTCGAGAGCACCCCGTACGTCGTCAAGATGACGTCAGTGTCAACAGAGACCACAGACTTCTTCGGCGCATCGTAGAAGAGAGCGACGCGGAGACTCGGCGCACGCGTCTCAAACTCTTGCTTCCACTGGTGCAGCAAGCTCAGCGGACACACAACCAGCGTCTTGGCGCGCGTTCTGCCCCAAGCGTGCGCCGGTGTAAAGTCGGCCGTATGCAATTTTGCCCGCGCCGCCACGAGTGCGAGCACCATGATGGTTTTACCTATCATGTGTCATCATGGGAAGCGAGATAGAAGAGGTCAGGTACCCATGCCCATGTCGTCGGCCAAGATGCCTCCTCGGCAAGGCACGGGCGGCGCCGGCGGCGTGAGTGCAGCAAGGCGTTCAAACACATTGACGTAGTAGGGGACGGTGGCGCCGTGGCGCGTGCACGTCCGTGTCGACCAGAGCTATCGCAGAACCCTCAGTGCCACACGTCCGCCCTCCGATCGCATTGTACCGGATGCATCGTGCTGGGCGACTCGTCGAGACTGACGCTGGCGCCGTCCAGTCCTAGTGACTTGTGAGAAGAAAAGCCAGGACCAATGTAATGTACGGAGGGCTTGGCCAATGAGGTGGCTGTCGCTGAGCGCATCGTGGTTGAGTTCGCGAAAGAGCATCCAACGCAGCGCTTCTTCTTGGTACGACCGCAGCGTGATGTTGTGCATCGTAGCGTGCACGGCCTCGGCGCTGTAGCCCGGAATCGCGTCATGCGGCGAGATGCTGGTGCGGTACAGGACATCGACCGAGACGTCGTCGGCCATCTTCTCGAACGTCTCGCCCGGCAGCACGAGCGTCGTCGACGGTGTCAAAATCGATTTCTTCGGGCTCCCGAGCAACTCGAGGAGAAGGAAGGCTTTCTCCTTGTTACGCTGGTCACCGTACGTGAGAGGCGTCTTCTCGAGCGTCGACCAAAAGGCTGGAGCAGCGAACACAAACAGCTGGACTTGAAAACGCGCAAAGACAGCCGACTCGAACGGCGCCTCAACGATCGTCGCGCCGACCGCCACGAGGCGCGCGGCCAGGAGCACTGCGAGCATCTCTTCCCACGCTTCGTCCATGCGGCCGACGACGACGTTGCCGGACATCGTGACGACACGCACCATGTTGCTGCCCTCGACCTGAAGGTGGAACCTACAACAACGAATATGCTTGGTCGAGTCCAAGCCAATGGCGTTGTGGACGTACCGCGCGCCAGCCTTGATCGAGCGGTCGTCCCGTCGCGTGACCGACGCATCGGCCGTCGCAACGCCGAGGTAGTACATGGAAGGCTCCATCGAGCGCGTCCAATACGTGGCGTCGCTGTCGGCGGTCGCTGCTTCCTGGCGCGACGCTTGCTCGTAGTAGGCTGCGATCGAGAAGCTGACGCTGCCCGCGTTCTTCTGTAGCAGCCGCCGCATCTCTTCGTCGCTCACGCCATTGCCCAAGCACTCGCGCATCTGCTGCAGCTTCTTCTCGAGCTGGCGTGCGTCTTCGCGGAAGAAGGTCGACGACGTCAGTGTCGCGGCCTTGGTCTTCTTCTTCCCGCGCGTCGGCGTCGGCGAGGCGCGGGCGCGCTTGGCCGAGCCAAATTCCACGGCGCCAGGGCGGGTGGATCGGCAGATCTCGCAGCGCGCGGCCTGCGGTGGGTTCTCGAACGAGCAGTTCACGCACGCCCAGTCCATTTTGCTTTCCAATCAACTTGGCCGCGAGCCATCCGGATAACACGATCTCCAGTCCGGAAATACCGGATACGGTACAGTATCCGGTGCTCTCCCACCGAATTCGCACAGATAAGGCGTCTTTTTTTGGCGCCAACGGAGCTGTCCCAGGCCAGACCGGTAAAAATAGAAAGAACGGCGACACCAACACACGTGGCACGCTGAGGGATCGCAATGGCGTCGCAGTGACCTTCGAGCTACCCAATACTCGGTTCTGAAGCCAACAGCAACGTACTAGTATCTTGCAACTTGGTGATGAATGACAACGCTTGTCGATTCGTCTCTGTGCCCAGCCAGTGTAGAGACCTACTAATGTCGGTGCGACAGAGGCCCTTGCGCCTCGCCCTTTACTGCGACACAGAACTCAGTTGGCGCAAAGATCGCAACAGGCAGCAAGTAGTTGGTTGAAATACTACTTTTTTCCTAGTTTGCCCGGAACGCGGTCCGGTAAATGTCGCCGCCGTGGTCCACGACGTACGTCTCGCGGTCTGTCGGGATCCCCATCGCATTTGTCTCGTGCGGGCCAGTCTCTTGCGTGAAGAGGTCCGGGTGCTCGGCAAAGACTTCGACCATGTACTCGAAGAGGTCGAGGACATCGGTCTGCAGAAATACCGGCGTCGCCGGCGCCAAATGCATCGCAAGCGCTTGAACGAACGCGGGGTTGACGAGGCGGCGTTTGAGGTGGCGCTTCTTCATCCACGGATCTGGGTGGAAGATCGAGACGCTCGAGATCGCATGCGTCGGACGCAAGGAGGACAGGATCGCGTCAATGTGCAGGTTCATGTTGGCGTGGAGGACGTGGACGTTGTCAATCTTCTCGTCGTGGATGCGGCTGACGGCCTCGAGCACGAGCGGCTCACGGATCTCGACGCCGAGAAAGCACTGCGTCGGGTGCTGGGCGGCGAGCGCAAAGAGGTACCCGCCACGCGCGCAACCAATGTCCAAATGCACCTGCGACGACGCTGGTGGAAAGAGACTTGGCCAATCGGGCAGATCGATTGGCGCCTCGAAGCGCCGGGCGAGCGGGTTCACGTGCTGGCGCACACGCACCTTGGTGCTCAGCGAGCGTGCGAGGCGACCGATCGCTGCCATGCTCCACCAAAATGGAAATGCCATTCGGACTTTTGTCCTGATTTTGTCCGAAATTTGTCCGAAATTTGTCCTGGTTCGATGACGCGAGCATGCAGCCTTGCGTAGAGAGCTTGGACGAATGAGACCGAGGCAGCATCAAAGCGTGCATATAATATAGGCCGTGTTGCTGCTGTATGCAGAGCGCTGTGGCGTAGCAGTGTCCATAGAGCCTGCCAGCCTAGCTGCGGCCCAGGTATGCGACATGAGGACAAAAAGTCCCAATTAGGACAAAATAGGCCAATTGCACCAGCCAATCCTGAAACCAATCATCAGAACCATGGCTGGCAGCAGCGCGAAGCGGAAGCGCGAGTACAGCGAGGACGAGAAGCTCAGCCACCAGGCGTCGGTCGCCTTTGCGCGCGAGCTGAAGAAGATCAAGACCTTTGAGCTCCAGAAGGTTATCAAGGTGCTTGGGAAGGACCCGGAGAACCCGGCGCTGCAGATCCAGGTCGAGCTCCTCAAGGTACGCGCGCCGTGACTGTGGCGTGCAGCTTATAGCGTGCTTGTAGAACCTCGACATTTCGCTGGTTGTGCGCCGTGCGCTTCTCTCGCTGGGTCTCGACCCGCCGGCGAAGCAGGCCAAGGCCGTCGAGCTCCCGGACGAGCTTGCCGCCAAGATCAAGGCGATTGAGACCTCGCTCCTCAAGCACAAGCGCCTCGCGCCCGTCATGAAGACGTGGAAAGAGAAGACGGGCGAGCGCGCCGAGAAGCTCTTCAAGGAAGAAAACGCCGAGCTCAACAAATCGCGTGGCGTACGTCCGACTCTCCTTCTCCGGTGACTCATGCCTGCTAGAAAAATGGCCTCGGTGCGCGTAGTAGCGCCGCTCCTGTCTCGCTCTTTGTCGGAACGCTCTCGGGCTTTGGCGACGCTGACGACCGCGCCAAAGAGGTTGTGATATCATCGTCTAAGAAACATCATGGTCATCATGGTCGCGGGCTGCGTAGGAAGATGTGATTGCCGACTTTTTGGGCGAGAAGCACAAGAAGAACCGTCCTGGCCAGCGCGCCCGTAAGCAAAAGGCGCTCATGATCGAAGCCGCCAAGACGGGCCGGCCTATCGAGTCGGGCGGTTCGTTCCGTGAGAAGAAGGAGCGCCCGAAGCCGGCGAAGAAGGCGAACAAGCCCCCTGCTGCCAAGCCAGCCAAGCCGGCGCGCGTCGAGCGCACGCGGCCCGAGGCACCGGCCGTCGACAAGACGTCACATCCGTCGTGGGCTGCCAAACAGGCGCAAAAGGACAAAGAGAAGGTCGATATCCACGCCTTCTCGGGAAAGAAGGTTGTCTTTGACGACTAATAAGACTATAAATGCACACTTGACCCCGCTGACCACGCTCAAACAGCAACTCTTCGCAGCAGCTACTTCCGTTGACGCATGGACGATCCATCGAGCCAAGTGCATATGCGAGCTCTGCAGTGATCCATCGAGTCGTTGTCCATGATAGCCGTGGCTCTGGATATTGGCAGCGGTATGCTTAGTGTCTGCTTCGCCCCATTCGATCGGCGACAAGGACCAGGTCAGTTCTTGCCAGGAGCGCATTCCCGTGGCTATAAGCAGTGGCCTCGTCGAGCGAACTAGCAGCACGCATCGGGAGGCGTCCACGTGGCTGCTGCCGTTGGTCTTTGGCGCAACTGAATTTTGACAGCGGAATGTAGGTCGATTGACAGTCACTCGGTACTGGCTGCCTGGTCTCCCCAGAGTTCATTTCTGAAAACACTCAACCAGTCTCTCATGAGCATGTGGGCAACGTGGACCTACGTGCTGCTGCCGCCGGCCGTCGTCTTGTACGTGCCCTCGACATGTACCCATGATGGCCTCTCATGCGCCAACGTAGGCTCATGCTCCTCACGATCCCGTTCCCGCGCATGATCGCCAAGGGCGTCGTCCGCTTCGTCGACATGCTCTTCAAGATCGAGCTCGCGGGCATTCCCGTCGTCTCGGTGATCACGTTCCTCGCGTTTGTGTCGCTCGCCGGCCAGACGTACGACCTCCAGAAGCGCTACACGCACCCCGTCGAAGGCCTCGAGAAGCACTACTCGGCGGACCTCCAGCAAAAGGCGTCGCGCTGGCGCTCGGAGCGCAACTGGTGGATTAGCGCGCTCACGTTTACGATCTACTGGATGCTCATCCGCTTCCAAGCCATGAAGAAGCAGCTCCTCGCCGCGCAGCGCCGCGACGACTAGGCGCTTGGATCGTCAAAGGATGTTTTGATATGAATGCATTATGCTGTTATGCCACTGGACTGTCTTGGCAGGCGACCTTGGCGACTGCCAGGACCCGTCGACCGTGGCGTAGATACCGTTGCAGAGATGCTGGGGCATCCTGTGCCGAGGCGAGCGCAAGCTTCTCGGCGTCCTGTAAGACACGGTGGCGGTGCGAGACGCAGCATTTCTGGTCTCCGCCGTGACGAAGAAGGCCGTTGACAACCGACGGAAGTCCGGAAGATCGCAAGTCGGACGCTATATTGGGGATCCTGCCATGTCATTTTGAAGATTGCATGGGCGATCCGGTCCTGTGTCAGTACGCGCCGCGGGGCAAGTGCCAGGAGCCGCGGGCGCGCAAGCCCAACGGCCAGCTCCACTCACTCTGTGCGCACCACCGCGCGAGGCAGAACGCCAACCAGCGACGCCGCGATACCAAGCTCCGGCGCCTCAAGACAAATATGTGCCACGACCGACCGCTCTTGCTGCCGTACGCCGTGGCCGCGCCGCCAACGTATGCTCGGGACACACCGCGCCTCCCGCCTATTCGCTTCCTCTTGCACCGCCATGATGGGATGCCGCACCCCGTGTGCTCGGCCTTGTCCCCGTACAACGTGCACGCTTAGCGCAGTGCATCGCAGCGAACTCACGCATGGTTAATGGAAACGTGTTATCGAATCGTCGTCTAGTTGCCGCCGAGCAAACGCTTGAGGGCATCACGCTCCTCCTCCGAGTCGGCCTGGAGGATCTGGCGGTTGTCTTGAATCTTGATGATCTCGCCCGTGTACGTTTGGACAATCAAGTAGACGTACTCGCCCTTGTTCATGCTGGCGTACGTCTCGGCCCATGCCTGCGCCTTGCCGTTCGGGCCCTGGAGGTTGAACTTGATGCGGAGACGCGTCTTGTTGCCTTCCTTGTCGTTGAGCTCAACGTGCTCGATAAAGTTGCGGCGACCCTCCTTGTGGCCACCGTGGTCACGGCCGTAGCAGCGGATCGGAGCGCCCAAACGCTGCAAGACCTAGAATCCACCGTGCACCGTGAGGTACACACAGCAGCAAAGCGTATCTACCATGTCGTTCTGCAAGACAATGTCGCTGGCCTCGCTGAAGAGCGAGTTGGGGCTCATGCGGCTAAGAGAGTAAATGAGCGTTGTGACCCAAATCACGATCGCGATGTACATACCTCGGGAAGAGCTCGCGCACGATAAAGTAGCCGCAGACCACCGACAAACCAGCAATACCGGCCCACATGCCGACCTGCGTGGTGGCAGCGACCTTCTCGTACGGCGTCAAGACGATCGCGTCCGTCTGCGCTTCCGCCTGCGCCGGGTTGGGCTTGGCCTAGTACAACGCAGTCAGATCCAGCATTGCATTGCAGTGGTTGCATGCCTTGTCGCAGAACTGGCGGCGGTTCAGAGGCGCGCGGTTGGCCTTGGCAGGCGCCACGAGGGTCCGGGTCTTGGTCGCGCGGGCAGCGGCGCGGCGGAGGTTGGCCACAGCAAACATCTTCGGCAAAGTTCGGGAAAGCGCAATGCTGACTGGTGCCAGTCCATCGGTCGCACGTATATGCGGCAGATGCCGAATTTAACCCGTGTAACCGGATCCGAATGCCGAAACAATGACGTGCGTCGACTAAACGAGTACCAGTCCGCAGAGGAAAACCCCGGTTTTGCCCACGACGTTTCGGCAAGATGCGATCAGATAATTGCTGTTTGTGGCAGGATTTGGGACAAATCATTCAGTCGGTCCCGCCCGACTAAACCGTAGTCAGCAACATGGGGCCGACGACACGTTGCCTGTGGGCCATGGTCCTCTGCGCGGCCGCGCTCGCCTACGCCGAGGAGACGCCGCATGCGCCCGTGATCCTCGACGACTTTGACCCATACAAGCAGCAGGACTTGGACCTCGTCATGGGCATGGGCACGCACGGGAAGCTCGCGCCGGCGGCCGTCCAGAACGAGCACCTCAGCAAATTTGACTTTGACCCGTCCGAGGGCCTCACCTTCTACATCGAGAAGCTCGAGTCGTCGTGCTTCTTTGAGGACGTCAAGTCGCTCGGCGACGACGTCTCGGGCGCGTACATCGTGTCGACCGCGGCCGCGACGATCAACGTGGTCGTCAAGGACCCGACCGGCGCGATCGTCTTTCGCCGCGACGACGACGTCGAGGGCACGTACGAGGTCAAGCCGTCGAGCGTCGGAGTCTACGAAGTCTGCTTTGTCAACGACGCGAGTGACGGCAAGCTCGTGAGCCACGTGACGCACACGCTGCAGTCGCAGCACCCCGTCGAAAAAGGTACGCACGCCAACGCTGTCGACGCCGCATCCTCCTCGCCCTGCTAGAACACGTGAGCATCCTCGCCAAGTACGCGTCGCACCTCGACATTCGCCTCGGCGAGCTCGAGTCGGAGCAGCGCTTGATGCAGCTGCGCACGGACCGGCACATGAAGAGTACGTCTGCGCCATATTCCTTCTCCTAACAGGCAACATGCGTAGCGGAGAAGAGCACGAACGACCGCGTTTCACTCGCCGGGACGCTCGAGTCGCTCGTGTACGTCGCCTGCGTCCTGCTCCAGATCTGCTACATCAAGCGGTTGCTCGAGAGCCCGCGCCACGTCAAGTCCTGGGCGTAGTCGATGCATCATCATCATCATATATCCATCAGCATGATGATTCATTATGTACTTGCAGCATCTACAGAGGACTTAATGGGCGCTCGAGATGGCGTCGACGAGCGCATCGAGAAGCGTGTCGCCGAGGTTGGCGTCGCCCGACGACACTTGGAGGCGCAGCGTGCCCGTCGCGTATTGCATCTCGATGGTCGCAAGGAGCCAAATCTCCTTCTTGTCCGACCGGAGCTTGCCGCAGAGCTGCATGACGACCGGTGCCTGGACGTTCCCGGGCAGGAGCATCTGGTGCGGGTTGACGTGGCAGAGGTTGAGCGCGTGGCCGACGTGCTGCGTGAGCGCGGCCAACGTCAACGGCGTCGAAAACTGCTGCAGCTCGTTGGACGCAATCTTGTGCTTGGCCCAGAGCGCCGTAAACTGGTCGGGCATCACGTGGAACGGGTGCAGGAGCTCGCCGATCGACGGCGTGAGCACGCCCGTGTACGCGTCGTCGTCCTCGGCGCTGCCCGTGAGGATGCGCACCGGGACGCCCTTGAGCTTGCCAGCAAAGTCCACGTGCAACTGAACCATCGACGACGACCCGGGGTACACGACGGGGACTTCGGGGAACGGCACGAGCGACCCGTGCGCGTGCGCCTCGAGCTCGACGCGGATGCGCGCGATCGGCGTCGACGACTGGTTGAGGAGGTAGCACTGGACCACAATCATATTGGGCGCGTACATGGACGGCGTCCGGAGAAAGCTGTACTCGATCTGGAGACCGTCGCCCACTGCACTCGCAAGCAAGACCGAGCGGGACGTGGGCGCCGCCGCGTTCATTGTGAGGTTGCTCAGGTCGGCCATCATGCTCATCGAGTTGACTGACGACGACGACGAGGCGCCCGTCGAGAGAAAGTCGAACGGATCCAAGAGGTTGCGCGTGGGGGCCGGTGCCGGCGCTTGCTTTGTCGGCTTGCGCTGCTTGGTGGGCTTGACGGGCTCCGACTCTTCTGACGAGCTCTCTTCTTCTTCTTCCGAGCTTTCTTCGTCCTCTTCCGACTCGTTGTTGTCCGAGGCGTCTTCGTCGCTGTCCGCCTCGCTGTCGTCATCGTCGTCCGAGTCATCACTGTCAGCCTCGCTGTCGTCATCACTGTCATCGTCGTCGCTCGCATCACTGCCGTCGTCTTCGCTGCTGTAAAAGCCGCGTGACGCCGACTTGGCCGACGGCTTCTTGCTGCTCGAGGACGACTTCTTCTGGGCGTCCTTGACGATCGCCGGTGCTTCCACCGACCCGTCGCGGAGCTTCTTGTCGACCTTTTCGAGGCGCCACGTCGGGAGGGGGAGGTACCCGGGCACGTTGTGGTGCACGAGCTCCGAGAGCGACCCGAGCGTAAACTTGGACTTGGTTTGCTCGTAGCAGCCAATGAGCGGCGCGGGCTTCTTGCTCAGAAAGAGCGTTTGCGGGCTGAGACCGTCGCCGAGGAGCGCCGACCGCACGAGGCGCGCGCGGTCGCGAATGTCGTAGTCCAAGTCAAACTTGCAGAGCTCGACCACATACTGGAGGCACAGCTGCACCTTGGAGTGATTCGGTGTCTTGAGCGCCAGCTTGACGGCCAAGCTCAGCAGCTGGAGCTTCACGTCCGAGTCTTCGTCCGTGAACGTCGCGCACATGCAGCGCAGCGTCTCGGGCGCCACGGGCTCTTCGGCTGCAAATTCCCCAAGCATCCACACGATCGACGCGCGCGCCGACGGCGACGTGACGCGGCCCGAGACCATCATGGCCGCCAGCGACCGGACGACCTTGACCGCCTGCGACGCGTTGGGCGCCTGCACTTGCTGCAGCAGCTGGCGGATCACGATGACGCTCTCGGCCACGACGCTCTCGTGGACTGAGCGCACGAGGCGCATGAGACCTAGTCAAAGAAGGATCGGCTATGAGACACGCGGTATGGCGTAGCAGAACACTACCCTTGAGGCATTTCTCCGAGACTGACGGCATCGCGTCGGCGACACGGCCGAGCGCGCGCACGGTCATCGTGACAAACCCCTTGTCCACGTGGCGCACGTACGCTTGGAACTCGCGCAGAATCGTCGGCACCGTGTCTTCGGTGACGAGCGCGGTGAGGATGTCGAGCTTGAGCTGGCGCGTGTACGAGGGGTCGGTCGCCCGCACGAAGAAATCTTGGAGGAACGGGAGGAACATGTCGGGCCGCGCGGTCGCCATGGACGCAATGACCGAGAGGACGACGTACTGGATCTCGCGCTGGTTGCGCATGATGCGCACGAGCGACTTGCCGAGGAGCGTGCACGTCGCCGTGCTCTGCGTGCCGCAGTAGTAGTGCAGCGTCGAGACCGAGAGCACGACCGCCGAGTTGCGCGACTTGAGCAGCGGGATCGACGACCGCAACAAGAGCCGGTGGTCCTCGTCGAGCTCTTCGCCGCCGCCAATGCCACTCGCCACGTCCGTCGAGCGAAAGACCGACCCGACGCTCGGCATGTATTCACGCTGCGACGACGACGCGCCGCCGCCGCCGAGCATGAAGGGCGACGCGTTGTAGCCCTTGTTGTTGTTGCTACCCTTGGCCTTGGGGTCTTCATCCTCGTCCGAGTAAAACGCCTTTTTGACCTTGCGCTTCGGGAACTGGTCCTTCTGGCTCTGCGGCGGCGGGTCCTGCTTCGGGCTCTGGAACTGCTCGCGGCAGTAGCGTGTGAGCACCTGCATCACGACGGCTTGGCCCCACTCGTCAATGTCGGCGAGGAGGTGGCAGAGCTTCCGGAACGGTCGGTGGAGAAGGTCCATACGATCCGGGCAGATTTCGTTGAGCGCCTGCACCGCGCTGCCGAGCACCATCGTGCTCGAGTCTTCGAGGAGCAGCGCAATGATCTCTGCAAGCACCTCCTTCTGGTCGACGCTGTCCATCGCGTGGACCTTGCTGAGCGCGTTGGCCGCGCACTTGCGCACGTACGGCGACGAGTCGCCAGCGCACTTGCGGATCGCAATGATCTGGATCTGGATGATATCGCGGACGCGGATGCTTGTCATGACACGCAATGCGAGCGCGCGAATGAGCTGGTTCGGGTCGGCCAAGTCCTTCTGGAACGAGTTGATCGAGAGGAGCGCGAGCTCTCGGCACTGCGCGTTGGCGTCGGCGTAGTGCACGAGGTACATGTACACCATCTTCTTGACCTCGACGCTGTTGACAATGACGTTCTTGACCACGTCGGCGAAGAAGAGCGAGACGTCTTCGCCCTTGCTGATCATGGCGAGGAGCGTCTTCATGGCCTGGAGCTTCTCCGAGACGCCGGCGCTGCCCGTCTTGTTGTCCAGGAGCCTCTTGATCTTCTCCATGTTGACGCTCTCTTCGAAGAAGTGGGCATCGCCGCTAATGCCACGGACCGCCATGCTGCTGCCTACTGTCTACTGCCGTCCGCTTGCGAAATGACCTCAAAATCTTCGCTGGGCTCGTCTCATTGGCCAAATATCCGTCAATATATCTCGAACATCCCACCAAAAGCACTTGATTTTTGTATGTTCCGACGATAGCGCACCTTTTTCAAATATTGGGTGCGTATCCTCGTTATCCGGTTTCATCCGGTTGACGGATTAGAGCACCCGCTCATGCATCTGAAGGCAGCTCCCCACGGCCATCTGCAACGGTCGATACACGTGCCAACGAACCGCTTATAGACTGTCGACGGCGCTTCCTGCTGTACCTCACGACGACGCAGGACCCTACCGCGTGCTGCCTTCTGGTGTGCCAGCGAGGGCCACATTGCTTCCATGCTTGGCCTCCTCCTTCTCAACTCATTCGCGTCCATGCATGCATACACTATATTTCAACTGCGAGAGGACCGACTCTAGACCTTCTTTGGCTCGTCCAGTGGTTTTTCAAACACGACGCGCGAGAGGTGGAGTTTCTCGATGCTGAAGCCGACTTCGCACCAGTTGAGGTAGTACTTGTACTTGCGGTAGACCGTCGGCGGCAGCGCATGGCGGTATCCGTCGAGGTTCTCGGCCCAGAGCCGCAGCGTCTCGGCGTAGTCGTGCGACCGCGTCTCGGTGAAGACGCGCTTGAACTTGTGCTCCATGAACGCTTCGTGGAGGAACTCCAAGTTGGGCACTTGCTGCCCAGGAAAGATGTGCGTCGTCACAAACGTCCCCAAAGGCACCGGCGTCCGGCTGCGCGCGACCGGGTTGTTGAACGCATACGCGTGGATGACCTGCAGGACGACGCGGCCGCCGGGCTTGAGCGCACGGTAACACGCCGCCGCAAAGTCGCCGTAGTGGGCCGCGGGCACGGCTTCAATCATCTCGACGGCGGTCACGGCCGCGTACTCGTGCGTCGCCGGAATGTCGCGGTAGTCGCGCAGCGAGAAGAGCGCGTCACCATACCGCTCGCGCGCCGCCGCGACCATGGACCGGCAGTTGCAAAGCCCGTTGGCTTGGATGCCGGCTTCGCGCGCCGCGTGCACGAGGAAGCCCCAGCCGGACCCAATGTCGAGGAGCTTCTCGCCGGGCTGCGCCTGCGTGAGCGAGAGCATGCGCTGCACTTTGTGGCGCTGGGCGTCGCGGAGCGAGGCGTTGGGCGGGAGGCCGTCCCAGCTTGCGCTCGTGTACACCATGTCGTCGCCGAGGAAGGCCTTGAAGAGGGCGTTACCGTCGTCGTAGTGCTCGGCAATCGAGTTGGCCGACTGCGTCCGGTCGAGGTCGCCAAATTTAAGGAGAAAGGCCGCGCGGCGGAGGTAGAACGTCGGCGAGAGGTACGGCAAGAGCAACACCACGAGGTTGTCCTGGAGGTTGGCGGCCGCCAGCGTATGGAGCACCTCGGTGAGCGTCGCGTTCTGGCCGAGCTCCCACTCGTTGCGCACAAACGCTTCGCCAAGACCGAGCTCGCCGTTGGCGAGAAGTGCTTCAAAGAACGCGAACGGCTTCTTCAAGATGACGACGTGCGACGTCGGGTTCGCAGGGGCCTCTTGTACGAGGAGGAGGCGGCCCGACGTCGCTGCGAGCACCGCGGCCTGGAGCACGTGCGTCACGATCGCATCCCGCTTGGCCAAGAAGGCCGGCGACCGAGAGAGAAACGCCCACGCCGTACCAACGATAGCTTGCAGTAGCAGCAAGGACGCGAGCAGCGGCCACGAGAAGAGCACCGGTTCCCACGGGTGCAGAAGCGCAATGACACCGACGATGGTCGTATGCGCGTAAAACTCCCAGTTGGACGACGGCTCGAGAAAGCTAAAGCCAAGGTGCGTCGCCAACAGCCCATGGCTCGCTGCCAAGAGCGACTCAGAGGACGTCGCGAGCAAGCTCTGCACGACGCTCGACGCCAGCGCGGCCTGCGTCGCGATCGCGTAGCCGCCGACCGCGTTGGCCGTCGACTGGCGCGCCGCCCAGAGGTACAAGACATTCAAGTACGTCGCGCTCGCCGTCACGTACAGCGGCAGCGGCGACGCGACGGCAGCCGATGCCAGCGCGAGATTACCGTAGCTCAAGAGCCGCAGTGCGTCTGCGTGCGTCGTCGAGAAGATCGAGACGGCGAACGCCAGCACAGACGAGAGGGCAAGCGCGACGTTAAAGTTGGTCGACGTCCCCGCGACCAGCGCCGCCAGCAGTAGCACGAAGTAGGCAAGACCCGAAGCCGGGATGAGCGCTCCGTGGTATCGGTGGTGCATCGCGAGCAGCGGTCCCAGCGCGCCAAAGAGCACAGCGGTCGACAGCATGTTGGCTTGGACGAACGCAATGGCGACGGCCCCAAACATGAGCAGCGGCAGAAACAGCATCGGCGAGACGAGGCTGAGCTTGGACTGCGCCTTGTACGCGTGCATGGCCATGCCGGCCGCAAAGAGCTTGGCGGCCTGCACGTAGATCTGCCCCACGGTGCGCCACGAGCCGGTCCGAACGTTGTGGCTCTTGCTGTAGTCGACCTTCCACGACGCCGTCATGATGACAGCCTTGCTCTCAACCTCGCGAAGCGTCACGGTGATGCTCGACGTGCCCACGAGCTTGAACTCGTACTCGCCGACGGTCGGCTGGCCCGGCGGCGCGTTGAAGGGCGAGACATGCATGATCTTGGGATGGATTGCCGGCGAGAGCACGTCGTTGGGCAACACGCGCATAGCGTACAAGCAGCGCTCGTTCCACGGTGTGTTATGCACTTCGATGAGCAGCGCTTGGAGCGTCCCAGCCTCGTCGTACGCAAAGTAGGGCGTGAGCGGGTTGAAGCCGAGGCCGAGGTACCGGAGGTTCACGACCGTCTCGATCTTGCCGGCGGGCCAGTAGTTGAGGCGCGACGCGAGCTCGCGGCGCACACACGTGTCGATAGGCACGCTCACGTCGCCAAAGTGGTCGCGCCGGTGGAACGACCGCGGCGGGCACCGCGTGTCAAATTTGTGCAAATGCATGTCGTAGTCGATCGTGTACGCCTTGTCGGTAGGAAGGAGGCGCGCGTGGTGGCTTGATCCGACGACGCCGACGGCCGGGAGGCCCGAGAGCGTCGGAAACTCGACGGGAAGGTCGTCGCGATTGAGCGACCGGCGCGCCGCCAAGAGCCCCGAGACCGCACCATCCTCGTGGAAGCCGTTGCGCAGCCACGCGCCGGCAAAGTAGACGCTCTTGTGGCCCTGGAACGCCGCTTCTTGGAGCTGTCCTTCGTACGCCGACTGGTTCATCGTCGGGTGCGATAGCGTCGTCTCGAAGAACGTGCCTTCGGGCGTCGTCGCCGGGTTCAAACTCAAAAACACGTTGTCGGCGGCGAGGTTCTGAAGCCGCGAGATCCAGTACGTGACCTGCGGACCGTCGGCCGGCGTCCCCGCGACGTTCCAAGACGACCAGTCTTCCTTGAGCGTCGGCATGCCCGAGCTGCTTGTGTGGCACACGATTCGCGATGGGTTGGTCTCAAACTTGGCGAGCCAGTCGCGCGTTGACGCCGGTGGCTGGAGCGCCAAAGCCTCCGGCGCGCTGCACGTGAGGATGAGCGCGTCATATTGGAGGCGCTCGCCCGACTCGAGCACGAGCTCCTTGGCGTCGTCGTCGATGCGGCTCGCCTTGGACGACGTGCGCACATCCATGTTGGGGCAGAGCGCCACAAGCTTTTGAACGTACGTCTCGGACCGGTTCGCCGGGGTAGTCCAGGCGACGGTCTCGAGCGTAAGGAACATGTGATGGTGCATAAACTTGAGGAGCGGCTGGATCGGAAAGTCCATCGCGCCTTCAGCGGACGTGCTCCACACCGCCGAGATGAAGGGCACGAGCCACTTGTCGATGAAGCGCTGGTCGAGGCCAACGGCAAACTCGCGCGTCGTCGTCGTGCGCGGTGTCTCGTCCAGGAGGAACGCAAGGCCGCGCTTGGCAAACTCGCCGTGCGCCGAGATGAAGTGCCAGAGACGCGGCCGGAAGACGTTGCGCAGCGTCCACGCCCACCCGCCTTGGAAGGACCACGAAAAGTCCTTGTCAAAGACCGAGAACGACATGTCGGACGGCTCGACCTCGGCGCCAATGTCGGCAAAGAGCTTGTTCAAGTTGGGGTACGTGAGGTTGTTCATGACCATGAAGCCAATGTCCATGCGCTCGCCGGACGGCCCATCGATCGTGTAGGCGTGGCCGCCGAGGCGCGGCGCGGCCTCCACCAAGGTCACGCGGCAGTCCGAGTACTTGCAGATGGTGCGCGCAGCCGTGAGGCCCGTGACGCCCGAGCCGACGATGACAATTCGCTTCGGTAGCGCTGGGTCGACCATGGTGAAATCCAAAATGAGCTCCGAGCGCGAAGGATGTGTCCGTGGCGCACACGATCCCGTGTGTAAAACTGCCGTGGGAAATGTACGTGGCACCGCAGAGGCTGTGGGACGACGTGGGAAACGTGATTTACACGCGACACCTACCTCCAGAGATTGCGCTACGCGCTCAAGTTACACTGTACGGTGAGGTTTCCCACCAGTAAATCCCACTCAGAGCAATGACGTCGTTCCCGCGCGAAATCGACGCGCGCCATCGCAAAGTCGGCGTTCTGTACGACTACAGAGGCCAAAAAGCGAGAAGAAGGAGCTCGGAGTATTGCCACTATGGTTCCACGGTTGGGTAGTCGACGACCGAGGCAAGAGAGATCCTGGCGTCACGCGATGCTGGTGGTGGCGGCGCCGCCGCTGTCAAGACCACGTGTTTGATTGGCCAATAGGAATGGAAATGGACCAATGAAAGCGCCCGAAAGATATGCGTCGGGTTTGTCCCAAATAGTGATCGGGAGAAACGATGGCCTGGAGAGAAATCCGTCGAAGTCCCGCGGCTGCACGTGCACCTGGCGCGACCAGCTACTTGACGCGATGATCGTCACGAACACGAGCGAAGTCCACTTTTTCTCGGCCGCGATGCCCCAGCCCCAGAGCCCCAGAGCCACTGGCGCACCCGTAGTAGCTAAAGCGGATCTTTGCGTCCTTCCATGTCCATACCTCCTTCGCGCCACAGCCTTGACGCTGCTCTCAACGGTCCCCAGCGACTTCAGAATGGAAGAGTGTGGGTTGGCAGAGTGACGGTTGTCGCGGGTACGAAAACGGCAAAGTGGACTTCATTGGCTTTCACGCAGTGCCGTCGCGTGTGGACAGCCATCCACAAGATGCCATGCGGGAAGCCCAGATGGCGCCTGTCCACGTGAAACGAACGCGAGGATGACACACGTAAACGTGGCGCCAGGAACGACCGATGCTGACGAGGGCACGAGATGCCCGTGCAGGACCCCGTCGCACTCAAAGGACGCAGCGGATTCACGCTCTCGACCCTCGAGGTTGCTCTAGTCAGTTCTTCTTGGCTTGGTCGCGGCAATTGCAGCCGAGATGCGTCGAGATTGCTAGTGGGAGCTGCGTCCAGAACATGATGATGCTTCGCGTCATCATGGCCGTTCTTCGAGCAACTCTGGACAGCTTTGGACTTCGCTGGAGGCGTCGACGAAGACTGAACATGGAGTGTAAATCGATCGGACGACCATTGCTTGTGTCGTGATCATTGCGCGAGGGCACGAGCTTTGGCCGCCGAGACGCGCGTTGCTCCAGACACCTCCGTTGGCTGGTCGCGGTTCGCGCTCCAACGCACACGGGCACAGGTGGGCGACACGCAGCTGAAAAAGCGTTGTCCCTTGATTACCGAGTGGTCTCTGCAGTCTCCGCGGCGGTCTACGAGTTGAAAATAAGTCGAAATCGCTCTCATGTCGTGGAGGTAAGTAGGTTACCGCATTGGCAATCCAAAGGCATGTGCCGGTC